CTGTGGGGAGAGGAGAGGGAGAGGAAATAGGGTGTGCACAGAGGTGACACAGGAGTGAGGACCAGCTCCTTCCACAGCCGGCAAAGATGGCAACAACACTGGACCTCCCTCCCTCCTCCTCCCACTGCCGAAGCCCAACAAGGTCCCGCTCCTGAGCTCCAGTCCATGGCTCCACGAGCTTCTCATTGAGTGAGTGTCCATCAGCAATGGAGCAGAGCCAGGACCCTCTCACACTGGCCTCCTGCGATGGCCAGCACAGGCAGCCAGGACCATGGGAAGGAACGGTCCCTGGAGCCGCACTGCAGGCTGGGGAAGGGTCTCACCTGGCTCACCAGCAGGGGTGCAGCTGTGTTGGTGGTGTAAACCTGTGTCATGTCCTCCAGCGTCTCAGTATCAATTGACTTTGGCTTTGCAATTCCAGCGTTGTTGATGAGGAGGTTCAGCCCTGAGCCCCCCAACTGCTCCCCAACTTTTGCTGCAGCTGCCTTGATGCTGGCGGGGTCGGTGACTTCTGCAGAGCCAACACAGGGCGGGTCAGCATCCATGTGGTGGCTTGGGGTCCTCTGTGTCCCCCCACATACCCTTGGGGCTGGCCATGGACAGGATGGATAGCAGTGCCCGATGTTCCACTCTCCATCCTAGCTTGGCTCCCCCCCCCACATTGGGGTCCCAGGCTGTACGCAGCGCCTGGGTACAAACCAGGGGAACCTAGACGAGAGATTCCCAATTCAGAGCACCCACCGAGTGGGATGATGACCAGGTTGGGGTACTTGGACGCCAATTTCTGTAACTCCTGCAAGAGAGGGGACTGCGTGAGCATGGAGAGGCAGGAGGGGCTGAGCAGAGGCTCAGCCTTTCACAGGCAAAGCCTGTGTAGCTCCAACTCTGTCCCTCCCCCACATCACACCCAGCACCCAGCTCGGGCTGTCCCGCTTCTGTCAGATGGGACTGTACCTCCTGTGCACTCCTAGCACCACTGTCCCCTCTGCACATCCCATGCACAGCTGGTCCCACAGCCATCACAACCCAGCTGCCCTGTGCTGCAGGTGCCTGGCAGCAGCTTACACCCTTTGCAAATGCCCTGCCTGTGCCAGGGGCTGCCCTGGCACTGATCTCTCCCATCTCCCAGCACAACCCACTGTCCCCCAGCCCAGCCTCACCTGTGCTCGCTGCCCCTTGGGGTCCCGACATCCTGCAAACACCCACTCGGGTGGCTTTGGCAGCCCCAGGAAATGCTGAACAAGGCCCAGGCCAATTCCCCGGTTGGCCCCAGTCACCAGAACTGAGCGGACGTGAAACTCTCCCATATCACTTCTTCTCCCTCTTCTCCGTCTTGCAGTGTGTGCTCAGCTCCCTAAAGCTTCTTTATAACATGCTCCATGGCCACCCCACCCACTTGGGGCTTGTACAAGCCCTTAGTTCCAGGCAGAACCTCTCCAGGTCTTTGAACTCCAGGACACAGATCTGGGCTGGGAGCCAGCTCTTGTTACCAAAGGGCAAAAATCACTTGGGTTTTCCAGGCAAACTGAGCTGGCCTCTGGAAACCTGGCTCCATAGTTCAGGAGGTAGTGTCCAGCCTGGCCAGGAGAGGCTGCTGTGGGTGAGGAGGGAGGTTGCAGCATATGGAAGGGATGCGGGATGCCCCATGGCTCAGATGATCTTGACAACTTCACAAGCATCCTGCAGGCTAGACGGGTTTTCCACATCCTGCCTTGCACGTGCCTCTTCCAAGCCAACTCCCATTCACTGATTGTCCCATGAAAGACCCTTGATACAGAACAAACCCAGCGTGATCTACTGGCAGAAGGATGTGGACCTGCATGGCCTGCACGTCACATCTCTGCTGGTCATGCACTCCATCCCTTGGGGTGCTGTCTCACTGTGCACTAAGCTCAGTAGCTGCCTCACCACTTTTGACCTGCTGGGGCCATCACTGATACTGTCAGGACCTCCACTCTCTAGCCTTTCAGTTTGGTAATTAACTCATGTTATCATGCCTTCCTTTTGTGGCTTTTCTCATGTTTGTTTGGGGAAGGATTAAAAGTTTAGGGTTTTGCTCAAAAGCTTGACTTAGCTTGCCCAGCCTTGGGTGGCTCTGAAGACTCTGTATTCTCACCTGATGGGCTAAGGCCTGAAGCTCCACATCAGCAAGACATGTCAGTTCATATGGCATGCTGCCATCTGTGAATTCACTACATGCAGTGTCATAGAATCACAGAATGTTTTGAGTTGGAAAGGAACTTAAAGCTCATTCAGTCCAACCCCTCCCATGGGTAGGGACACCTCCCACCAGCCCAGGCTGCTCGCAGCCCCGTCAACCTTGCCTTGAACACTTCCAGGGCAGGGGTACACACAGCTTTTCTGGGCAACCTCTGTCAGTGTCTCACTACTCCCAGAGTAAATAATTTGTTTCTAGTATCTAATCTAAATCTACCCTCCTTCAGTTTGAAGCTATTACCCCTTGTCCTATCACTCCATGCCCTTGTAAAAAGTCCCTCTCCAGCTTTCTTGTAGGACCCTTCAGGTACTGGAAGGCCACTATAAAGTCTCCTCAGAACCTTATCTTCCCTAAGCTGAGCAACTCCAGTGCTCTCAGTTGGGTGGCACCTCGGCATGGTAGCCTCTCACTGACTTCAAAAAGACCAATGGGAACAAGGCCACTGACAAGGGTCTTCTCTGCCCACCCAGAGGAGCAGGGAGGCTGAGAGGCAGCTCAGCTCCAGCATCTCCCATGCTTTGCTTCTCCCCAGCTGGAGCTCCTGCCCGTCCTGAGCTGGCTGTGCTGCTCACTCCTTCCCAGGGGAAAGGAAAGGCTGGAGCCCGGCTTCTCCTTGGGGCATCCTCCTCATCCTCTGCCCTTCTGCCAGAGGTGTCCGTTCATCCATTGGCTCATCCGTGCTCATCCATTGGCTGTGACAGAGACATCCAAGGCAGTCCACAGGCTCGGGGATTGTCACGTATTAACCCAGCGTTGGTGTCTTTGTGCCAGGAGTTTCTGCCTCTCCTGGAAAAGGTAGCGAAGGGTGCAGACAAGGAAAGGCTGAGCTGCAGGAGGGCCTTGGTCATCAATGTCTCCACCAAACTGGGCTCCATTGTGTTGTGCCTTGGAGTGTTGGTGACCCCGATACCTGTACTATGCCAGCAAGGTGAGGTGCCTGGGGAGGTGCTGAGGACGCTCTGCTGTGCGCTGTCCCCATGGAGGGGAGCCCGTGGGGGCATCCACCTGCCCCAGGCCACCCACCTCCTGCTTGTTGGGAAATGTCCCCCCTCCTGCCCACCTGTACCCTGAGTTGTGCTGGTATGGCGGTGCTTCTTCCAGGCTGCCCAGAACATGGTGATGAGGTGCATGGCTGCAGAGCTCCATGGACAAGGGCATCTTGTGCATGGCCATCCATCCTGGCTGAATGAAGACCAGTATGGGGACAGAGAAGGTACTGGCTCGTGCAGGGAAGGGTCAGCAGGACTGGATCCCCCTGCTGCTCTGTGTGCTGCCGTATGCCCTCAGCCCAGAGTTATCACTGTGGGAAACAGTCACCCCATGAGCGTCATGTCCCCACACATCCATAGACCTAATGGCTGTCAGCTCAGGGCCATGCCAGGAGCCCTTCCTCTCCCTCCTCACTAGTGGTGCCAGCCATGCTTGGCCAGTGCCCAACCCCTCTCCAGAGGCTGCTGCCTTCCCCACCCTGCCCTAGGGGACAGGGCTGGTCCCCCAAGTCTCCTCCAGGCCTTGAGGGTCACTCCCTGGCAGTCTCATCCTGGGTGAGGTGGGCTGAGGAGAGGGCAGACAGGGACGGAACAGGCTGACATGGCAGGCAGGCCCTGGCCAAGTCTGGAGCCTGCTCCCCACATGCTACCCAGGTGCTGTGTGTCCAGCCATCCCACCTGTGACTAAGCATCCCCCAGCTCAGGGGAGGGGACAGCCAATCCCTGCAATATGTCAGCCCCTTGAGCCACCCCAGGCCCGAGTGGTGTCTGCATGGCCCTGGTCAGGCCGCCCTGAGGCCCCGGGCAACCCCAGTCCTGGGAGAGGGGCCCTGACATCAGCAACAGCAGAGGGTCAGGTGGGCGGCTGCAGGCACCACCACATCCTGGGATAAGGAGCGCAGCAGAGCCAGGGGCTCTTGGGCAGGAGTTTATTGAGGACGTGGGGTAGGGAGGAGCAGCGGCACAGGCCCCGCTGCCAGGAGGCCAGGCTGGCATCTCACCATGGAACAACCTTCCCTTCCCAGTCCAGGAGGGTGCCGGTGTCTTTCTCGGAGAGGGAGGAAAGCACCTTCAGCATCCCTCGCACACTGGCGTCCACCGTCACAGGGGGCTGTGGAGAAGAGTGAGGACAGGCAACCGGTGCCTGAGGCCAGGCTAAGGGCTGCCCAGGAACAGCCAGGGCTGGGGAAGGAGCAGCTGGAGGGTGAGGGGAAAGCTGCCAGCTCCAGGCAGAGGGGTTGAGTAGGGAGCTGAGGGGATGGGGGCACCCGGGGCCAGACAGAGATGGGGCAGGCAGGGAGGTCATGGGCAGAGGCTGAGGGCAGCAACTCTGTCCTGTGGAAAATCAGCACAGCGGCCCTGATGGACCCACCATAGTGAAAATCCTACCGTGTGTCCAACGGAGTCACCCATGTCAGTGTGCACCCAGCCAGGGTGCAGAGCAACACAGAGGATGCCATGTTCCCGGTACCCCAGGGACTGGCACTTGGTCAGCATGTTCAGAGCAGCCTGCGGGGAGACAGGGCAGGGATGGTGGTGGGAGGGGAAGGGGGGCTGCAAGGGAATACATCCAGACCCCTTACTGGCACAGGCAGAAGAATGTGCCATGAGAGGGGGTCCAGTGACTGACGAGAGCTCAGTAACAGTGCAGAGTAGTGCAGGGATGGAGGGAGGAGACATTGGAGGGCTTGTGCAGTTGTTTGCTAAGAAAAGAAGGTTGGACCCATATTCAGCACAGCACAAACCTTGCTGCAGCGGTATGCGACAATATGTGCTTGATCCCATAAAAAGACTTCCTCAATGGAGCCTGCAGAGCTGGACATGTTGATGATGGCTGCCTTGCTGCAGCTCAGTGCTGAGCCCAGGCTCCTCTGGGCAGACTTCTTCAGCAAGGGCAGGAACGCCTGCAGGATGATGAGAGGAAATAGGTGTGTACATGGACATAGCACAGGAGTGAGGACCAGCTCCCACAGCAGGCAATGTTGGCACCAGCACTGGAGCCCCCTCCCTCCTGTTTACATTGCCGAAGACTGCTCCAGCTCCTAAGCTTCAGCCCGTGGCTCCACGAGCTTCTCACTGACTGAGAGCCCATTGGATGCTGGACTGGATCCAGGACACTCTCCCACTGTCCCTTCATGCCCCCAGGACAGCCCAGCTCTGGTGAGGGTCTCACCTGGCTCATCAGCAGGGGCCCAACTGTGTTGGTGGTATAAATCCGGGTCATGTTCTCCATTTTCTCATTATCAATTGTGTTGCATATGAGCATCCCAGCGTTGTTGATGAGGAGGTTCAACCCCGAGCCCCCCAGCTGCTCCTCAACTCTGACTGCAGCTGCCTTGATGCTGGCGGGGTCGGTGACATCTGCAGAGTCAGTGCAGGGCAGGTCAGCATCCCCATGGTGGCTTGGGGTTCCCTGTGTTCCCCCAGAGACATGTCCTTGGGGCTGGCCATGGGCAGGAGGGATGGCAGCGCCCTATGTCCCCGCCGGCACTGGCCTGTTGGTACAGCTCCCTCCCAGTGCACAGCACTGGCCACTCTCCAGGGGAACGGGGGTGAGAGACCACACTCACTTCAGGACACCTACCGAGTGGGATGATGACCAGGTTGGGATGCCTAGAGACCAAATTCTGTAACTCCTGCAAGAGAGGGCACTGCGTGGGCATGGAGAGGCAGGAGGGGCTGTGAAGAGGCTCAGCCTTTCCCACACAAGACCCATATCACTCCAGCTCCATCCCTGCCACACCTCATGCCTAGCACACAGCTCTGGCTGCCCCACTCCCGTTGGATGGGGCTCTGTGCCTCCCACACACACCATGTGACACTGCTTCATGTCCCACCCTGTGATGGCAGGCACAAGGCCTTGAGGAAATAGGAAGCAGCAAGTAAGTGATTACTTTTGTTGCTGAGGTCCCTTGTCCCCTCTGCACAAGCCATGCAAAACCATCCCAACGTGGCTGTCCTGTTCTGCAGCCTCTGGGGTGCTGGGCTGCAGCTCGAGCCCTTTGCAAGCCCTTTCTCTGCAGCAACCTCCTACCCTGTCCCTCTGTCCCCCAGCACAACCCACTGCATCCCAGCCCAGCCTTACCTGTGCTCGCTGCCCCTTGGGGTCCCGACATCCTGCAAACACCCACTCGGGTGGCTTTGGTCGCCCCAGGAAATGCTGAACAAGGCCCAGGCCAATTCCCCGGTTGGCCCCCGTCACCAGAAGCGAGCGGACATGAAGCTCTCCCATATCGCTTCTTCTCCCTCTTCTCAGTCTTGCAGTGTGTGCTCAGCTCCCTAAAGTTTCTTTATAACATGCTCCATGGCCACCCCACCCACTTGGGACTTGCACAAGCCCTTAGCTCCAGGCACAAACTCTCCAGCTATTTGAACTCTAGGACACAGATCTGGGCTGGGAGCCAGATCTCGTTACTAAATGACAAAAATAACTTGTTTTTTTCCAGTCAAATTTGGCTGGCCTTGGGAAACCTGACCCCATAGTCCAGGAGGTAGTGGCCAGTCTGGCCAGGAGACCCTGCTGTGTGTGAAGAGGGAGGTTGCAGCCTGTGGGAGGGATGCAGGGTGCCCCATGACTCGCATGGGCCTGGCAGCTGCAGGACCATCCTATGGGCTGGATGGGCTCTGCATGTCGTACCAGGCTGTGCCTCAGATGGTTGCAAGCAGACGTTCTCTGCCTTGCTCCTGCCTTTCCCAGCCAATCCCCATTTCCTGATTGTCGCATGAACAACTCATGTTGTGGAGCAAACTCAGCATTGTCTACCGGCAGAAGGAAGTGGAGCCTGCACTGCTTGCACATCACGTCTCTGCTGGTCATGCACTCCATCCCTTGGGGTGCAGACCTAAGTTGAGTGGTCCCTCTGGCCAGAGCCATGGAGGACTCAGGGTTCAAGGACACTCTCCCGTGAAGGCAAACACCTTGGTCAAAGCCCCATTGCCCACATTGCCTATAGGCGAGGGCAGAGGTAGTTCTGTGCTATCTCCAGTTAAGCTCGGTGCTGTGCTGTACCTCAAGTGAGGTATTACAGATTTGCAAGGCTAGGACTGATGTGCCTACACATTTCCTTCCTGCAATACATTAAAAAAATTGACTATATAAGAAGCACGTTCCTTTCCCAAAGGGCCTATTTACCAAATAGCTGTGTTTTAAACACATTTTTTTGCACCTAGCGTTGTGCCACAAATCACAAGGGAAAACTCTGATTTGCTTTTGTGAGGCTCCTAAGACAGAAACTCACAGTTTCTGCTGTAATGGTGGTAGAATATCATCACCCTGTACCTGCTTGAGAGAAGTGAATCTTGCACATCCCATCACAGCATCTCAATGTGAGACATTAAACCCCTTGGATAAGCCTGGGCAGCCAGTCAGGTCTGGTACATGCATCTCTCTCCAGCTCTAAGGGTCTTTGTAATCCCCCCTGTGCCCTGGAACATGCAGACTGGTGACAGCCCCAACCTTTCCTCTTCCCCCTAGCAAGCTTTGTCACCAGACATTCATTTGCTTTCACATCCTCCAAGCAAAATTTACCATTTTACTCTGAGAAAAAGCCCAGAGCACATGACGGAAATGCACACAAACACACTGCGCTTTCTGTCACAGCAAATGAAAAATAATCTTTGTTGGCAGGTGATACCCAATATTTTCCCTTCTGGACCCTGTGGAAAATGTTCCCTGCTAATGCATATTTTTAGTTGCTTTGCTGTTATTCATAAGACTTTGCATACAGGTATGCACGCTGAGCACTCACACGTTTCATTCACTTAGACAACCTCATGGCAACCAAGGCTGGGATTCACCCTTCTCCCTTTCTATTGCCTGGAGGTTTTCTTTCATGGCAGTGCCCCTTGTTGTGGCCCTATGGTCCCTTCTACTCCACTACCCATAAGCTGTCCTTGCTTTGGTGGCCATCAGCTGCTGTGCCATCCAGCTTCTCGGTGAGGTCTTCCTCTGTGGGAACAGGACAGCAGCAGACGTCTCCTGCCCTCCTGTGCATCTGCAGTGTGTATTTGGGACCTGATTGCCCATCTTCCTCTTCCTCAACCCTGCCAAGTCTCAGCCTTTCCTTCAGCTCTGGGTGTTTCATTCTTTTTCCCATTTCCTTTCCTAAGCCCAATTAGACCTCCTGCTTTTCTGGTTCTCCACATTGGGCTGAGAGGCTTCTTTTGCCTTGTGAATTCCTACCACTTACCAGCAATGCAAAGCTCTGGGCCTTCCAGCTCTCTGTCACAGCCTGATCTATCACCAAGGTCCCTGAAAATTCTCCTCACTTCAGCACACCTCCCAAATTGCAGGGCTGCCTTTCAGGCTCTGATAGGTCATTTCAATAGCCTATTCTATATTTTCACTTTTTAGTGACCACAGACCACAAACCTAGTTGCTATTAGCATGAGAGCTCTGCTCCTCCAAACAGCTTTTCAAGGTTTTCTTCTACTAGATAGAGGATGAGGCCATCACCCCCAGTCTGTTAGAAACCTTCACAGTGCCACGGAACCAGACAGCAGGAGAAAAAACACCCAAACTTTTAAATCTCCTTTTTTTTGCTGTGTCAACACATTTCTGTAGCCCTCCACTGTTTTCGAGCTGTAACTTTACAAAGGTGATTTTGCTCTGGGGCCCCATGCTGCATTGGTGATCGTTAGAGTCTAAACAAACACTGCTTCACCAGGAGTCAGAGTCCAACCTGACATGAAGAAGCAGAGCAGAAAGTACTCAGCTTTGCCTGGTCACAAATCAGCCCCTTCACAAGTGCTGCTGCTGGCCTCAAGCCTCAAGATAGATGTCTGCACAAACGGCAATGGCATTGC